ATAAGGTCAAACTCTGATTTAGCATTGTTGATATATCAGATAAATTAAAAGCCATGAAATAAGTCAGAGGTCATATTGAGATGAAGTGGAAGGCTTAACTTGAAAGTAGTTGAGATTAAGTGTAGGATGATTGTGATACTGGTATAATAATATCTATAAGTAAATAAGCTAAAGATGTTGGTTTTTGTTACTTTATGAATGTTCTGATTATGTTTACTACAATAAGGATCTAATAAACTATCATTAATTTCTTTAAATTTGATTACAAATTTTACAGCCACAACATTAACTAGTTTGCATTTTGCTACCACAACCTTAATGACAGCTATTCTAAGATGGTTATGATGCATTCAATCTTTTCATTTGCCGTTGCCTGAGCTTTTGAAATTTGTTTTGTTTGTGAACTTCTCAATCGTTGGAATGCATGTTAATTTGATGTGGAACTCTGTAGGATTTTATCAGGTAAAATATAATATTTGCTAGATTTTAATAGTTGTGTTTTTGAATAATTTAGAAATCACAGATTCTCTAATTCAATGACAAATTGCAAAGCTTGATATGATTCCTGTATCCTATTTTTTAGAAGTTATGATGGACAATTCGGTACTCCAAAGATACAAAGCTGAGCATAGCTGTTGTTCTTCTAGGTGTTGGTGTTTGTATTGTCACTGATGTGAATGTTAATACCAAAGGTTTTATAGCTGCCCTTTATTGTAGTTGGAGTATTTCTTTATAGTGGTATGTAAGTTATTAATTCCTGGGCATATAAATTGAATCTTTTAATGTTCTAAATTGATGTATCTTTTTTAGAACTTATAATTTAGTCATTTTTTTTTTTGTTTATTTGTGCAATATGTACATCACATTTAATGAAGGGATAGTCTTAATTCCTTTAACCTACTAGAACACACTATTCTTACTTAGGCTGGAACACTATTGCTATTAGGTCCGTTTCTGGATTATTGGTTGACAAATAAAAGAGTTGATGCCTATGACAATGTTTAATTAAAGGTCTCCATCTTATATTTGCAATTAGTGAACTATTTATATATTTATTATAGGTTATTTTCATTAATTTTAATATTAATAAATTTGATTATGTGATTGTAGACTTATTTTGCTTCCATTCAAGATAAGCTATCTTTTTTTTTCTTCAAAATGATTGACTTTTTACATGAATTTGTTGGTGCAGGATTGTTGAAAATTTTGCCATGATTTTAGTGTAGCATTTTCTACTTCACATGGTTTTGTACCTCAAGAATCCATAGTTCTGAAGCTTAAAAAGCGTGAATTGGCCAAAATTTATACAAAAGGGTTGTGTTTTTGGATAAGATCAAGAAGGCTTATCAAAAGAATCCCAATTTGGCTAGCTTGGTTATGGACCCTGAGTTTGCAAGGGAGATGGTTCAAAAGCAAGTAGCTAGGAAAAGAGTTATGGGGTTGGCCATCTCTATTGGGATCAACATATCAAGAATGTATGTAGATTCAGTTATTGAAAGTTTTGAAAACTAACATGGCAAAAATGTTGTAAAATGTATCATTGTTGGACAATCAACTATGCTATTTGGTATATTGATAGAGAATGCTATCTTAAACCTTTCAGAGGGTCAAAAATAGATGGCTTGGTTGATAGACTTCACTGGATGGACATTGAACACAAGTGTGCCCCTCAAGTTTGCTTACAAAACTATTAATATATTACAAAACCGTTACCTTAAGAGGCTGGCTATAGCATTTCTCTATAATCTCCTAAGAAATTTTAAAGTATTTTGAAATGATTGAATTTTATCCCTTAACCACATTCTGATTGTTAAATGAGTGCTAAATGTCTTTAGACTTGTGCTAAGGCATAATTGTGTTTAATAATAATTTAACAATGTGAAGGACAAGTTTTTTAAAACTAAATGACATAATATTGGTGCATATAGCATTGTAAGTTAACTACTGCTCTTGTTAATTTGATATTAAACTTAATCAATTTGCTTTGCTTACATTTCTGTAGATTGTTAAGTATTTTCTAGATGTTAAAATCTTTCAAAAGGTGAAGTTTGTGTACCTTATGAGTAAAGATAGTATAGAGCTCATAAGATCATATTTTGATAAGAAAAATTTACCAAATGAATTTGGAAGAAAGGTAATACTATTGGTGAGGTTGTGTTTTTTAAGATTGGGTTGTATAGATCATGATTTGAATTGTTTTGTTTTTGGAGATATTTATGTTGGTTATATTTTTTGTGGAATTATATGTTAGTTTTGTTTATTTTGATGATTTTCAGTTATGCAGTGAATTTGTTATTTGAGTTCTTTTCTTTATTTTTAATTATAAGGTTTTATTTTTTTCAAGTATAGTATGAGGTATTAGATTTAAATTTGAGGTAAGTTTTTAAGTTGGACTTTTTTTTTTGTATTGTTATTATTTTTTTTGCCTTTTTATGTATTAGCAGAACATCAACATGTTAATAGCCTATTTTTCAACAACAATGTAACAAAACAATAGGTGGATAGTACTTATTCTTTGAATAACTTTATAGCTTGAAGAACTTGCTAGCCTATTTTCTTTAACATGTGTTTGTTGATCACGTTGTTTTGAAAATTGTAACCAGAGTTAAGCTAAAGAAAAATTATACAAAAGAGGAAAACTATGTGCTTCTATTTTTAGCTTTTGAATTCTAATTATGTTGATAGATTAAAAGGTTAGATTGGTTCACTTAAAACTTCATGTTGAAAAATGTTACCATACTTACAAGTCTTAGATGGTGATTTATTTTCAAGACAGCATCTTCATTATATCTAATTTTAAATCAAAATATCCAGTGTTATAGCTAGACTGAAGGTAAACTTTTAATTATATTCTATTTCATCAAAGTTACTTTTAACATTCAACTAATAAGTTGATCTAAACTTTTTTTTTCTTTTTGCTTAGGCTTTGTAGACTAGTATCAGATTTTGTCATTGTCATCGTGTTTGTAACTTATGGTGGCATTGCATTTGCTTATGCTGGACAACCGATCAGATTGTATTGATTTAAGCTTAGCTAATCTTTGACTTCAATGTTAGGTTCTACCTAAGTTTCTTGGTTTACTAATATCTTATATATTTTATTGTTATGTATTATATAGGTGATTATTGGATATTTGTTGGCGAGATCTTTCATTGGATCTGGAGGTTTTAACTTTGTCAGTGAAATGGTGTAAGTATGTTTTTTATTACAATAAAGTTTTACCATCAACATTGATAGCTTATTTATTATTGAATCCTTTGTAACTATTTTGAACAATGGTTTCTTGATCATAATGTCATAGTTTATTCTTTTGCATACAGAACCTTTACTATGAAAGATTTGGTATTTCACATGCATAACAAAGTGAGTTGATATGGCATTTCAAATGCATTTTTATTATGTAATTTATAAATAATTAATTTTTATATATTTAATTTTCATAATTGATAAAATATGATTATACCAATATCAATACATATTTTAAATATATATAAAAATAAAAATTATTAACTAAATTTTACTTAATATAATTTACTTTAAAATCATATTTTAAAATTAATTAAATAAAAAAATTTATAAATATGTTTTAAGAAACCCTCGACTAAGTGAGGGCATCAAACAAGTTAGTATAATATAGCCCCACAAAAATGTATTTCAACAATAAAAAATTTCCACCACCTCCTAATATTTCTGGTGGATCAATTGAAATTAATAACATATAGTAATATGATGATCATTTCAAAATTTATGATAATTTATATATAATAATTAAATTATTGTATTTAATAAGTACTAGGTGATTTTACATGATGATAATCTTAGATCATCTAAAATGATCATATTACATTCTTAAAAAGTGATCTAGTTTTTATCTAAAATGATAAAAAAACTTTCATCACCAAGTAAAATGATATGTAAAATTAATAATAATCAATATTATTTATTTAATATGTGAATTAAAAACATTACTTCCTCTTGAAATTGTAATTATTTTATATTATAAATTTTTATATTTTCAAACCAATATTTATTGTAACAAGTTTATAAATAATTTGTGTTTTTTTATTATTTTAATATTTTATATGTAATACAATCTTTTTTTATTATGAATTTAATAGATTAGTTTTATTTTTTATTCAAATTTTTTACATAATTTATATTATAAATTTTAGTTTATCTATCAATAAATATATATACTAATTTAATAATTTGATTATATATTTATTATAAAATAAATACAATATTACTAATATTTTATAGATTATTACCTTTAAACAATATTAAAATAATTAACTTATGTAACTATTATAATATATAATTATTTTTATATTTTTAAATAAAATAATATTTGATTTTTAATAATACCAAACACAATAATTTATAATTCATAAAAATTAACACTCATTAATTAAATAAAATAATTTCAAATAACGAGTGATAACATCACCTCGACAATAAAATTATCTCATGAATTATATTACCATGATAGCTAGCTCCACAAATTCTACATTAATATTACAAAAATATCAAATATCAAATGTGGCCTATATTTGTCTCAACTGTGTTACTTTATGATAGCTAGCCCCACAAATTCTGCATTAAATTGTTTTTATTTAAACTATAGGGTAAAAATACAGAAAAATAAAATATGAAAAATCTTACTTTAATATCATTTTTATTCCCTTTTTTTTTTTAATCTTTTCAGGAGAGGGGTCTTCTCTAAAGAAAAGAGTATTTTTTGAAGTAATTTTTCTTATTGGCAGATGTGGTCGTTTGATGAAAGATTTCAAGTTACTCTAATGATGTCATGTAATAATCATGTTTTAATTCAAAAATTAAATCACCATGATAAATTATTAAGCCTTTACTCTTTAGAAAAACTTGATTAATAGGATGAAATTAATTAAAAAAATCTTAACATAAAAAAAATGTTTTTTTCCTTGGCCTGATACCAGGCAGCAGAAGCCAGCTGGTCCCCCCCACGGTTGAGAGTTATGAAAGACGGTTGTCTTGATTGACACGCCTCCATTTTCGCTCCGTCAGGCTCACATCGCTACTTTTCGCCAAGGAGGCGGTCATCATTTTTCTTACACAAGCATGGGACCCTTACATATAAAGGCTTCAACTATTTTTTTGCAAACCATGGGGAGAAATGCGGTAACTTGACATATTTTGCAGTCGTGATTTTTAATTTTGCATATTCTATCTGCTTTGATTTGCCTTTGCTAAAGCTGAAAAGAGCCGCCCTTTTAGTGATATTCCACCATAGCGGTTTTGGATCCCTTTCACCTAGCCTAACCGGCAAGGAACCTTTCATTACCAAATACTCGTTCATTTGATGATTTGAGTTCGATAGACCCTGATTTTAATAAAGCACCTAACCAACCTACGACGGTTTAATGCAGAAGACTACCATTCAAGTTTTTTGCTCATTTAAGGAAAAATAAAATTAAAAAAATTTATAGGTGGACACAAATTCTGGGCTGGGTTAAGAAGCGAATTAGTGTTCCCTTCGACAACTTGCACTCCAAGGAATATATGCCCATGCCAGCCAAACATAGGCAAAGTCCGATATTCCAAGAGGGAATGTAAGATGCCCTGAACCGAAGGCCCAAGGGATTCAACATCCTTCCAAGCTGACTAGGAAAAGCTATGCCACACTTCGTTATCAGCACAAGGCGATTGATTGGAGCTCCTGTTCAATGAAAGCAGCTCTTCTTTTGTTGGATCATCATATCCTTTGGTAAAATCATTGACTCGGATCAAATACTTCAAATCGTTTTTTGAAATTTTCAGCCAGCTTTGTTTCCTCTTCTTTGCCAATTGTACAATTCCTCCAATCAGCCCTATCCGCCATGTTCAGTAGGCCTGCCAGCACCTGCATAAGATTTCACACCAGTCATTCCTTTTTCCACTGTGACAGATACATCTTTTAAAAACTAGCTATAGACATTAAAGTATGTTGGTCATTCTTTTCAAAAAGAAAAGTATGCCGATCATTAGCTGCATTTAACCACAGGATTCTAGCTGATAACATCATAATTTACTACGTTTCAAATAGATATGAAGATGTCTCAAATACTAGAGTATTCAAAACAGCAGATTCTGTTGCAAAATTTACCACTTAGACCTAAGGCCAACAATTGGTTATTAATCAATTGTAACTAAAAAATCTTTTTGATGGAAAATAATTTTATGGTGTGAATTCCAAGACATATCATAACATATAGTCCCACCTCTACTCTTTTCTCTCCAAATAATAATGGAAAATGTCTCACCACTACTTTTTTATTCTCTGTTACCTATTTTAAAAAATAAAATTTACATTTGACATAATTCATAAGAAGCTAATCTCAGCTAACAGGCAAGACAGAGTAACTTTTTATGTCAGTCATTGATGAGAATGAAAAACCTATCATGAAAATCAATGTAAAAGAAATTAACATGCTAATTATCAACAATCTCAGTAGGTGGCAATTAAGGAATAAGTACACAATTCAAAGCATCTTGTTCAGAAATAAAAAAATGCAAAATTCTTTTATTCAGGTTTCAATTTAGTAAGCAAGTGCTCAGGTACAAATAGGCAGCACCATCAAATTCAATAGCAAAATTAAGTATCATACCTCTCGTCCGAATTGGCCAGGAAACTTTTCATTCTCCTCAACCAAATGTGATAGGAATGAACCTTCAGGGAGTTCCACATAGAAGCAGCTAAAATTCTTATCAAACTGTGTCCTCAACCATTTTCTCCCCTCGGAATTATTGTTGACTGCAGGAAAAACATCAGCATAAAGATACAGAGGAACATAAAGGTCCCATAAATTTGAGGATTAGGATTGAAACTATATTCAGTATCCCTCATGGACAGACACCACATAAATGCATCACATAACCCATAAATATGAGGATTTTGAAGGCAACATTATGATTAGGATTGAAACTATATTCAGTATCCCTTACAGACAGACACCACACATATGCATTACATAACCCAATGAATATGGGGATTTTGAAGGCAACATTATCAACATATATGCACCACATTCACTCAAATGTAATAAACTTACATCTTTTGGTAACAAATTCAAAACCCAACTTTTCAGCTGCTAAACTAAAAATGTCTTTAAGAGCAGCTGCTTTGGATGATGGAACAGGAACAGCCTACACAAAAGGAACATAAGATACAATTAGATGCCAAAATAAATACTTAACTATAAAGAAACCTCAATATCAAAGAAACAATTATAGAGAGAATCCATGTATGCCTTATGCATGGATGAGTAATTTATAAATATACTCTTGAATAACTGAACAACGATAAATGAAATTGATTATTGAAGCAAATTTAGATTGGACATGGTAACAAGACTTTATCTGCAAGTGTTTCACATATTCCACAATGTAATGTATAACTAGGATGAGAGACTTTATAAACAAATAAAGTGGCTCTAAGCAATTCACCTGTTCTAACACATTGTACAGTATAACTCCATGAAGACAATCATAAGAGAAATCTCTTTTACCTGAAGGTTGGCATGGGTGCCACGTTTTGATATCCACTCAAAGAACACAGCTTCCTTTCCCTGGTTTTTATAATACATCTTGAGACTGTTCTGGAATTTGCCAAGCTCAATTTCACTATCTGCTGGTAGAGAGAGAGTATTTGGCGAATGCTCCACTGGAATTATCAGTATATGATCTTGAACAAGTGGGCCTTTTGCTAGTGCACAATAGAAATTCTCTCCTATGCTAGTTACCAGATGTGACTCCACATTTGGACTAGACAAACAAAACCAGCACTCTTTTGATCTGTACTCAGTCACAATAGATTATCACTATAATGGTTTATATATTTTACAATAAGGATGAAATGGGAAACGTTCTGCAGTATTGTTATGCTGGCTAATCAATTTTTCCGCTAAATATGTGTCCAAAGTAACAAAAATATGCAGTGGGCTAGCTACAAATGAAATTAAGGGAAAAAATGATGACTGAAACAAAACACCAACCTGTTAGCATTACTATTGCCAGATCCAGGTCTCTTTCGAGAGTAACTCTCACCTTCATCCTGTAAACTATGCTTAAAGTTGCAATCTGGACCTTTTTCACATTTCCCTTTGATAATAAAATCAAGACAAACACCTCTCAAAAACTGTTCCCTTGCATCTATATCATGTTGAAAGTTGCACTTTTCTCCCCGCGGACAAGTCCCAGAAGATATAAATTTAAAACACACCTTATTACCATCAACATTCCCATGCTTTTGCCGTTTGTTCGAGACATCATATCTCCAGTATTGTGAATCAAGAGAACTATCACTAGTCCTCTTTGTGGCTTCTTTAGGATGATCCACTTGGTCTGCTAATGTATACGGTGATAAGGTAGTATTTGGGGGCTTTGCACTGATCTCAGCAGCTGACATGGCAGACGATGGAATTGGAGAAAGTGCATGAAGAAATTTCTGAGCAGGTGCAGGAACCAACAGTCACAGAATGCTTAAAAGCTAAATCTAGCAGTTGATGGTGGTTGAAAAAAAAGCACTTCAAAGATTCCTCACAAGAATGGATATTATGTTAACCCAAAATCATGAAATAAAAGAAAATTTGTTTGATTATGCAGAAATTCTTCAAGACAAAAATATTATGGTGATGGATCTTCTTTCCTTTTTTCCTCTTTTCTCTTGTGTGTTCCTTGCAGGGATGTATGATCTCTATAAAAAGGGGGAAAGAGCTAAGCAGAGCACAGGAAGTTGTACCAGGCACTATTCAAGTACACAAGAAACAGCAATCTCATTTAGGAGATCCAGTCAAAGTGTACTGGCAATTTAATTGTTCATCTATGTAGATACAAATATCGTGTTGATGAGGTTAATGATTCATTAATAGAGCTTTATGGCTAAAAGTCTCAGCTGAATACAATCACTATTTCAATATATACTTAGGAGAAAAAGAATGAGTTGGCATAAAATAGTCAGACCTGTTTCTCTTTATTCCCAACAGAAGCAAGACCCAAGAATCGAGTTACATGCACAGCATCAACATTAGAATAAGGTTCACGAGCATAAAATGCACCCTTAGTACCTGCAATGTGATAGCTAAAAGGGAGAACAACCGTTAGCAAAAGAAACAAGACAACTTGTAAGTAACTGCAAATGCATTAAAGAAACAGCATTCCAATAGGGTTGTAAATTATTTATTCTTGCATTTAGGACGTCATAGTCTTTACCAGAAAACTTCTTTGAACAAGGCCACATCTAAATGTATCAGTGGATTGGCAGACAATTGTTGATTTTCCAGCCAATAGAAAATGTTACAATATAGAAACATAAATTGTTATGCTGATGACTATCAAAATACCCCCTAAAATCTATGTTCTTCTGGTATAACATTTCTTAGCACTTGAAATTTAACCACTAATATCATGAAAATGAAATTTAATTCCTAACATTACAAGCTGGTACCTGACTCAGGTATATACACTACAACCTGTGCCTGACTACGGAAACTGTTGCTTTGAAAAGGTACACTATGATTGGACTTCTCATTGGGTGGAAATTTATATCTTATTGTAATCGCGGCTTCTTCTACAGATCAAGATGTCTAAGATGAGCTTTCTTTTGATAGTAAAACTGTGAGTCTTGTACAACACAACAATGCTAAAGACATTAAAAAAGCAGAATATTAATTCAAATTATCAAATGTATCTTTCATTTGTAACATCTCACTGAGAGTACGACCTTAGACCATGTGGAATATAGAAAAAGGAAAGGATTCATATACATGATTAAATCACTTTGCTATTAACATTTAGTTGGGTTCAGACATACTAACTGGAAGTCTTTGAGAAATCAGAGACACCATTAAACACTAATTTGAACAAGAATTATAAATTAACAATTTCATTATTACGACAACAGCATCAGTCATCTGGCAAGGAAGCATAAAAAACAGTCTATTGACAATTGGATGCACCAAGTAATGCGAAACTCTTCAAACATCATGTACCGTGGTTTGATCTCTGCGACTAACTGGGATACAGTGGAATCACTGCCAGAAGAATCCGAGATTCCTGCAGGAATATCTGATGCAGTGGCTCTATTTGTGATGCCACTTGGCCATTCATTAGTAAAAACTAATTAAGGAAGTAAAAAATAACAACCTCAGAACAAAGACAAATGAACAATGAAAAGTTTTCATGCCTAGCAAAGCAAAGGATATCTTAAAAACAAGTCAACTATTCCAGGTTCCTCTGCGAATGCTCGCAATGCGTCAATGTCATCTTGACTATATGTTCCAAACTGTTGACCATTAGACAACTGCCTACCAGATAAGTAAGCAACAGACAAACCTAAATACAAGCACAATAAATCAGATATGGCAAAATTTTCACATTCACATTCTATCCTAATTCCGTCTACTATTCTCAGTAACCAAACAGAAAATACTTAATAGAAGTTAAAAAATATATATATATACCATGGAGAGTAAACTTGCCGCTGCCTTTTAACCAAAATAAATTGTCGCAAACCTTGAACCCGTCCATTTTGAAACCTTGATTGGCAGAGTTCTTCGAAACGACCGATAAAACCTTGGCCGCATCGAAGCCGTAATCCCCGATGAAGTAAGTTGGGAGAGGAATTTGGGCTCGGCCTTCGACGTAGTCCATTAATTCATCGAGCCGGTCTTGTTCGTCGGAGAAGAACTGGCCCACGCAAAAAAGAGCATCAAAAGGACCCGCTGATTTATTCACCTGAAAAATAAAATCATATTTTTCAGCTCACCGCAGTTTAAAAGAGAGAATTAAACCCTAGCAGAAATATGGATAAATTTTTAAAAAAAAAAAAAAGAAAGGAGAGAAAATTTACTGAGTTGACTCGCTTGAAGAGCTGGTTGATGCGGCCTAAAACGCCGCCGCATAGTAGAATTCGTGGCGAAGCCATCATAGAGAGAAATAGAGAGAGACCGTTGAGAGCGAAAAGCGGGAATGCAAGACTGGTGCCATGAACTCTGAAATGAAGACTGAAGCCGGGGAGAGGAGGGCAGACGGTTGTGGTTTCTTGGGCTCATGAGGACAGGCTCAAATATTTCTAGCCTTCTAGCCCATGTTTGTAATATAAAACTACGGCTCATCTTTCGTATTGATTTTTTTTTCCTCACCTGTTTTTTTTCGCTCTTTACTTTTTAAAATTTAAAATTAAAAGTAACACTTTAAAAATAATTATATAAATCAAATGAATTAAATTTTGAATTAAAAGATTATAGTCCTATGTAGTGGTGGTAATGCTTTAGCATTATTAATCTAGTAAGTAGTAATAATTTTTCAAGTTTAAATTAAAAGGAAAAACAAACTATGAGGTTGGTGCATGCTCGAATATCAAATGCAAACGCTTCATACGTAAATATTCATGAATCCATCAACTTTCCTAATGTTATGTTGAACATGACACTTTCGATTGGATAATGTGAATGGGGCAGTGGACGCAGACTTTGGTGATTTCATTATTTTACTACCATCCAAATTGCCAGTAAGAACGAAGACTTTTCCTTCACATAATCTCCTTAAACATGTGTTTTTGACTTTCAAGGTTTTGTAGCCTTTGTCCTTCTTGACTGATACAGTACTTTAAATTTGTCGTTTCTACTTTTGTGAATTTGAAGTCTTAGCTCTTTGAATTCTGATTTTTGAATTAGTATTAATGAAATTGTGCCAATTCAATTTCCCAATTTCCTATCGTAGTCTACAATTTGCATGCCATAAAATGTTTCACCCTTTCGGGTGGTAGTGATCGATGGCATGTCCATATAATATATTAAAATTATTGTAAACTTTAATTTATTACTAACTATAATTATAAATGATATATTAATATTCGTAAATTATTTAAATTTTATTTGAATAAAACTCAATTTTAATTTGATTATTATTTAGTCGAGCTCAAATTTGAATAGTTTGACTTATTGATCGAGTCAAGTTTAAGTTTTTTTATAGAATATCTCGTTATCTTAATTGAGTTTTTATATTTTAATTAATAAAATATATCAAATTTAAACTTAAATTTGAGTACAAATAATCGAATTTTTATTAAATATAAAAATTAAGTTTATTTTTATATGTTAATTGAGTATAATCGAACGAGTTTGAGTAATTTGATTTTTATCTCGAGTGAAGCTCAAGTTAAAAAAATAAAATTCGATTGAGTTCAAACTGAGTTTTAAGTCTTGAATTTCGAGTTGAACTCAAGCTCGAACTTAATATTGTATTAACTCGAACTTGATCGATTACATTTCTAATGCTAACTAAATAATTTTATTATTTATTTAATGAATTTATATTTGATACGTTATTAGTATATAAATTTTATATATTATTAATGATTAAGATAATAACATTTTATTAATTAAAAAATATTAACTTTTAAAATAATTATACACAAATTAAATTTTTTAAAAAATTTATTTATTAAAAAATTATTATAATCTGATTTAGTTCATTTATAAGTTATCATCATTCGATTCACTAAAAACATATAAATTTATATGTTAATAATGTATTAAATATAAATTTTTATTTAATTATATATACGCTAAAGAGATATGATCTAGGTATGAGACTATACTACTTAGCGGATAAATTATACTCTTTCTTTAATTGCTAAACATCTCTGATTCAATTTATTAAATCCAAATTTGGTGGGTTCTGAATTAAATATTAAAGATCTTGACATATCATTATATGGCCTGCAAAATTAACATTTTTTTTAAATAAATTATTTTTCATCACAAAATTCATCAATACAATTAATACAATTATCAATATAATTATATTAAATTTATCCCAACTTAATATAAATCCAATTTTGGTGTGTTCTGAGTTCAATATTGAAGATCTTGACACATCATTCATAAGGCTTACAAAATTAATATTTTTTTAAAAATTAATTAATTTTCATCACATAAATTCATTAATATAATCAATTTAATTATCAATATAATTATATTAAAATTCTCCCAACTTAATATAAAGGCTCAGCTTTTAAACAAGTGAGATATGTGATTAAAGTTGATTTGAACAAGCCATGAGGATCTTGCTATGTATTATTTTTAATTAGTAAAAAATCGACACTTTTGAAACCTAATTAAAAATATAAGTCATATTATTATATATATTCTCTTAATCATCAAAATAAAGAATGACGTGCTGCTGCTGCCATCGTAGGTAATGATTGAAGGCTTGTGCCAATCTGCAAAGTTGCCCAAATTTGCCGTAATGTACGGACTTGATTAGTCTAAATTGGTTTTGTAGGGTTAAAGTGAATAAACTTCTTTTTCTTGGCACGTACCAAGCCAAGCAAAAATTTGACTAATAACAACTACTGATCAAATTGAAATGAAATGCGAAACAACATACGGGTTGTTAGGACGTCATTTTCACTATTACTTTCAGTATTCACTGTGACTACAAAAAAAGTTTAAGAAGTTTTAAGATTAAAAAACAAGTAAAAGTTTTTAAAAATTAACACAAAAATATTTACATTAATAGATTACAAATTTGATTTAGATTTGAATTTGAAGAATGTTCAATTAATTTATATAATTATTTTTATTTTTTAAAAATAATATTTAATAAATTTAAAATTTAAATTATAACATTTATAATTTTTTTAATAATTTATTTTTATATTTGTTGATGGTTTTATTTTTTGAATTTATTGGTGGTTACAACCATTTTATTAAAAAAAATGTTTATATTTGTTGATTTTTTTTTTTTGAATTGATTGATGTTGGGCTGTTGGCGCAGAGAAATCATCTTTAAAATATATATAATTAGTAAATATTAAATTTTAAATTTTAAAATACCTTTTAATACTAAATTAATGATACAATCAAGATGAAAAGTAAATTAAATCAAATAAAGTGTTATAAATATCATAATAATAAATTTAAAATTTCATGCTCTTATCATATATTTTTTATATCTCCTCTCAATAATTGATAATGTAAATGTTATTTATTTTTTATTTTAAAAAGGGACAAAGCCTTATTATAAGTGAGAAATTGAGTTCGAAACTAAATTTTTATGTGTTCCTCAAGATTTTAATGGTCATTAAATCGAAATAAAAGATATAAATGTTATTTATTAATCTTACGGATTTTGCTTTATGTTAGCTCTCTAACCTTGTACTCTATAGAATTAGCCAACTTCAACAAATTCTTGGCTGATCTTACATTCTAATTTGAAGCCAGCCTTGTACGAATAATAGTAATCGTCACTGGAAACTCTCAATTCAGAACTCACAACTTTAAATTAATAAATATACATATTGAGTAGGTATAAAAAACGTCATGGATTTAAAATACTGTAATCATCAATTTATTACGAAAGAAAATGATGAAAGTAGTCAGACGTCACCGGACATATAAAAAAAACTATAAGATAAATAATCTAGTTCAAGGCTAGAACCTAGTGGTCGTCATAATTCAAAAGTCCCTACCAATTGCAGGACTCAGGTCATGTTCTTGATGACTGAGCAATGCTCTCCAGAGCCTGGCATCATAGGAGCATCTGCTCAGAAACATTATCAGGATCCGGTTCAAGATTCAATCCTTAGATAAATCCAAAACCAGGTTTGTCAAGAGCCCTGAGGTGATGTGATCAATTATTTTCGGTATGATGTTCAGAATCCATATTGATGGAACGGTGACCGTACGGTTGTATTACGACCACCTTATGCATAGTAGTAGCTCACGATATTACCTCTACTAATGTCTTGGTTTTCACTTATACATCATATGAACATGCGTGGAGGTGGCGGAGCCGTCTGGAAGACTTTCGATTTCTTTGCCAACCAACCAATAAATAATTTAAACCTTTCCAGTCGCTTCGCTGGAGATGAAAAGAAGCAACACCACGTGTGCCATGTTAATACGTTAGGTTCTGTTTCTGGTTGAAAAAAAAGACATTATATTCTTCCGCTTCGAGGCTCCTAATTCTGTTCTCACTATCCGCAAAAACAAAACACAAACATAACTCAATTTTCATTTGATTTTCTTTGTCTTCCCAGAAACACTTTCCCTTATTGTTTTCCAATATGTTGGCTTTAATGACGAGCTGGTTAACGCCAACCTTTCTTTTCATCCTCCTCAACATCATGATCGGCACCATCTTCCTTATCTCCCGTCTTTCTCCTCCCAAAACGCCACATCACCAGCAATTTGGGTATAACTCAGCCCCACCACTCCAGCGAGCTCCGTCACTCCTCGACCGCGTCAAGTCGATCAACTTTTCAACGTACAAATTTCCTTTTTCAAACCAAGACTTCGATCATCATCTCCAACCTGCAGACAGCTTAGCAGCCAATCCGCTCGAGCGAGCCCCGTCAATTCTCGAACGAGTCAAGTCCATCGACTTCTCCTTCTACAAAAATTCTCCTCAAAATCCAGAAACGGGCTATATTCAGCCAACGGAACACGACTACACTAACCCACAACCCCTCGGCCGAGCACCGTCTCTCTTAGAGCGAGTAAAGTCCATCGATTTCACCTCCTTTTACCGATCGGACTCCGTCAAATCAAACCAACCAACGGAACCCCTTGTAACTGAAGAAGCGGATTCGGATACGGATATGAGTCCAGTTCATGGTCAAGTAAAGAGAATCCAGTCAGAGTCTAAGATAAGACAAAGGAAATTACCAGAAAATATGAAGAAATCAGCAAGTGAGAATTCGAGGCGCAAGGCGGAAGAAGAAGAAGAAGAAGAAGAAGTGGAGAGAAGACGACCAGCGACTACACGGATCGAAAAAACGGTATCGTTGGGAGATGGTGATCAGAGTGTGGATGCAAAAGCTGACGATTTCATCTACAACTTTAAAAAGCAACTTAGGTTGCAGAGGTTGGATTCTCTCTTGCGTTACAGGGATATGCTTAAGGGCAAGTAATGTAAGATTTCTGTTTTCTGTTCTTATTACGGTTTCGGAATTAAAATAGGATTTCATGGGGCTTTATGGTCACTTGTTCCCTCAGTTTAAGTGCAAGTTAGGAGCTGATTCCCTAATGTACGAGGTATGTTTTCATAATGTAGCCTGCTTCAACGCTTTGTTCATTCACCGGCCGATGAATGGAGGAAGAAAAGCTGGCAAGCAAAAGGCATGAAATTAAAATGACCGAATTGCCCTTTTGTAACATGCAACTTTGGTCAACAATGGGGGGGGGGGTTTCTGTCATTTAAGGTGCCTCAGTTAGTGTTTCATAAAATTAAACTTCAATTAACGGACTTTTGCATGGTATAAGTGGACGTCGAGAGATTGTTGGTATATTCAAATAATCAAACCGTCATGTCTACGAAATTGAGTAATGTTTATAAGAGAAAGAGCACCTTAATTGTCCTCGGATCAAGCCATGTTCTGGCAGTGATTATGGTAATTTTTATATGATTATTTTCCTGCTCACTTCCCTAAACGCATAATATTTTTATTCCACGTTTTAATAATCACTGCATTAACTGTAAAAATAATAATAAAAAAAAACACTCCCTTGAATAGTTGTTAGCCTTTGCATCATGTCAAAGGCAAGGAAAGCTTAAAAATTTTAATTTCATTTATATGGTCAATTTGTCAGCTGTGCGGTGAAGAAGATAAGGCGGAATTAACGCTAAAATTATTGTTCATTCATTGTTGTTAGGTTTCGTTTTCCGTCACCATCACCGGTTTTCTTAGTTGTAAACATTGTGATGATGGAGATACGAGCGTGCCTCTCTAGAAAATTTTCGAGACTTTACCTTCGGTGGATTAAATGAGTGATGAAAATCATTAGGCCATTAGGTAAGAAGACCCGAATTCAGACTAAGAGGATAAATAATATATTAACATTCATAAATTATTTTGATTTTATTTAAATAAAATATAAAATAATTATTATCTAGTTAAATTTAAATAATTTAATTTATAAATCAAATCAAATTTAAATATTTTTATATTTAATTTAAATAATTTATAGATTTAATTGAATTTTTATATTTTAATAAACTTTTATTATTTTAATTAATAAAATATCTTAAATTTTAGTTCAAATATAAAAAATTAAATTTTTATCAAATATAAAAATTAAATTTATTTTTACATATTAATTGAGTCTAATTGAATGAACTTGATTAGTTCAATTTCTATTTCAAATCAAATTTAAATTAAAAAAATAAAATTCGATCGAATTCGAATTGAATTTTAAATTTTAAATCAAATTCAAACTCGAATTTAATATTGTATCAATTTGAATTCTATCAATTATACCTCTAAATTAAATTCAGACTGAATCAATCGTTGGCTTTTATATTTTTCGAATTTTCCTTTATTTAAGTTAATTTCAAAATTTTTTTTGGCCAGAAGTCAATTTTAGAAGTTACAAATTAATTTTTTTTAATATACTTTTAAGAAGTTTGTTAAAAAAATTCTTCGACAAAAAAAGCTGGGTATGCTTATTAAAATATATATTCTTTTTAATAATATTTTAAATAATAACAATCTAAACGGGTATTAATATGATAGACTTTTTAATCGGCGGATTGCGTTTTCAGAACACTGCGTGTTTTGGCGTCTTTTCCTACGAGTTTAACAGGCCACAAGTCTTATAGCCAGGGATGTTCACTCCAATTAATTTTAAATTGTATTATTTAAAATTAAATTTATATATTTTATTTTTGTTAATTAAATTAAATTATTTAATTTTTGAAATCAATTCATCAAAACTAATTAAGTTACTTTTTTAATTTTAAAAATTAATTATATTGATTCAATTAATTTTTAATTAATCAAATAATAAAATAAATTATATTATTATATTATTATATTTAAAATAAAATAAATAAAATTATTCAATAAAAATATTTAAATATTAAATTATTAAATTAAAAATTTTAATAATTTGAAATGAAATGAATAATTATATATATAAATTTTATTATATTTGAGTTATAATTTCAATCAATTTAATTAATTTAGTTTCAAATTGGGAATAAAAAATTTTTAAAATTATTTTTGGATAATAATGGAAATTAATTCCATGATTAAGTGATTATCTGAATTAAATCAAATCCATAATTAATTCAGTTAAAACCCAAATTTGAAGATCTCGTAGAGGGAACTCTACAGGCGAGAAAAATTAAATCATTGAGGCGGCGGTCTAATGGCGCGGAGAAACGCTAACCGGTCCTTGTACAAAACTGTCAAGTATGCGGTTTGCCCGCTGTATTACGAATTCGGACCCGAATTTGACAAATGCAAGCCCGGGTTGATCCAAAACGCACCCGACCTTTACCCTGATCTCCTTAAAGGTAGGTAATGCCCTCTAATAACCGCCGTTGAAAACAAACTTTTCTTTCTTTTAAGATAAAATTTTCAATTCAAATTTTATGTGCAGCAGCGAATGCTAAATAAGCTGATAAAGTTGCTGATCCGTTACAATCCACTGGCATCTCTTCTGCTGATGCTGCTGCAGGTAAGTTTTGTTTATAATTCTCCTTTACATTCTTACATTCGTGCTTCCATTTCTTCTTTTTTTTTTTTTTTCCAAATTTGAATATCGGGTTTGATTTGAAATTTGATTTTGTTGTTTTCTGATTAAGCTTATTGTTTTGAATCACATTCCAACAATTCTTGAAAAAAGAAAAATGACTTGCATTTAGTAGAATAGTAAATCCATTTGATCATGTGCCAGTTTATCCGAGTTGCTCATGGCTGTGAGGATGCTATTCTCTTTCGTAAGTAGACGAGTTAAGTCTATTACTGTGGTAATGTGGTGCAGCTGGAATAGATTAATGGTGTAATTTGGTTTTATTTTCGTTGTGGAATAGTGAGCTACTACTTGTTTCAATCTTTTTTTTTCTTGCATGTCAGGTACTAATGAGGCTCAATTATGGCACACTGAATCTGAATGTATGGGTGGGCAAATTGGAATGACAAGATGCTTAAGTTGTTGTCTTTATCAAGTCAAGTACTTTCAATTTCTTTTTGATCATTAATAACAGGTTGGTTTTCGAAAGAAAAGAGAAAGGGATTCCGTGGGTAAGGTACTTGGTAATTTTGAATGGGGGATTCAAGATGTAAAAAATGTGATGTTATGGTAACTTGTAAAATTTAGGAGCAGAGGAAACTTCAAATTGGCTATCTCAGTTGTAGCCTGTAGGGTGGCTGTTGCCTACCAGGCTGACATGATAATGTTGGTGTGGTAGGAGCAGGGTGTTAATCAATAGCTGATCTAATATCTCATTATGCCGTCCTTAAACAAGAAAGAATTGGGTAAACTGTTATATTTTCCTACATTTTCTGGAATAGTTGACGAGTATGCCTGCCTTAGAGGTTTTCTATCTGGAAAAAGAATAGTTTCTGGGGTGTAAAAGTCCCATAGTAATAGGGCATGCTGTAATATTGGAATAAAAATTTGAGAATGTTTACAAGTCTCATTACTAGGTGGTAATTGTTGACAGGAAAGATACCTTTGAAGTTGAAGATATCCCTTTCAAGCCAAGAAGACTACCAAACTGATAATAGCAAACCTGTTAAAATTATAAAAATACTTATGGATTTCATTGCACTTACTACAAAATATTTGGCAAAAATTTCCACTATTTTACTGTACTCTAAATTTGTGACTGATACTAAGAGGCCAATAGTTGGAGAGAAGTTTTCAGAAAAAGAGGGGTTAGTGTAGTAAAAAGTAGATAAAAGTTTCCTCGAAAAGCCTTTTAGGTGTTAATTTGACTTAGTGAAATAGGTTAGTTTTGTGGGAGTAAAGCATACTACTCCACGAGCTAATAGCTTGTTCAAAAATGCTTATAAATGGCTTACCTTTACATGCATGCATATGATCATACCTTATGTTAGGAAGTTAGGATTGAACATTCTGCATATTGTCCAAAGTGGCTTCAAATAGCATCTGCAAATGAACATTTTTCCCTGATAGTTGTTTCTTCTTTTACCATACACTCTATGGTCCAGGGAGTTAAAACCTTTTCTCCATTCTTAATCATGTATTTTCTTTGTGCATGTGTTATTTGGTGTCGTTAATTTTGTTACTTTTCACACATTTTTTTCTTAAATTTCCAATAGTATGGCATTCTTCACTCCTCATTTTCTTACTTGGGCTGCAGGTGGTAGTTCAGAACCTAAGCAAGAGGAAGTTAAACGTCTTGCTGGTGGGAAGATTAAAAAGAAAGTATAATCACAAACTCTTCAATGCATACAAACATCACTTACATGAAATGAATCACATAGCATTCATTGGACATGTGAAGTTAGTTTAATAGAATTGAAATTTGAATTGGTTCTTGTGTTAGGAGAAGAAAGAAGTTGTCATTGAAAATGTTGTGCGTAACAAGCGCAAATGTATAACTACTGTAAAAGGCCTGGAACTTTTCGGTGAGCCACATGCTAGTTCTTGTTTTCTAAAGTGTAATTTGATGTCTATATTCCCATCTCATTATTTTGCTTAACTTGGTTCAGGTGTAAAACTAAGTGATGCTTCAAAGTAACTTGGAAAGAAGTTTGCTACTGGAGCCTCTGTTGTAAAGGTGCACTGCTTTGCTAAAACTATTATATCTTTTATGGTGTAATGTCTCATCATGCCATAATGTTTTTTCAATTGATTGGTTTCAGGGGCCTACTGACAAGGAACAGATTGATGTCCAAGGAGACATATCATATGACATTGTGGAATTCATCACTGAAGCCTGGCCTGATGTAATACTCATATCGTTCTCTGTCCTTTTTAATGTTTTATGTTGGGATTGAATGTGTCTCCATTTCTTTGTTTTAAATTCAATGGTTGACTTCCTAAAAGGCAGGCTATTTCTCTTTATACTACGGAATTCAGCCAAACTAGAATAAGCATGCATAATTCCGTATATCAAAATAAAAGCAGTCTATGTACCTAAATAAATAAATAAATA